ACTGCTATGGACCGCAAGCGCCTGCAGAGAGTGGTAAAGACTGCGGAAAAGATCGCCAGGAGTCCACTGCCCGCACTCCAGAGCATTTACCACCGCAGGGTGCGTAGGAAAGCTGCCTCCATCATCAAAGATCCCACCCACCCCCAGCACGGACTGTTCGCCTCCCTACCCTCTGGCCAGAGGTTCAGAAGTGTGAAATGCAGGAACTCCAGACTGAAAAACTCTTTCTTTCCCTCTGCTATCAGACTCCTAAACAGCTGAGGAGTTTATTACTAGGAAATACTTCATGTACTGTCGACCTGTACTGTTTACATTCTCAGTTTGCACATGCATAATTGCACATTGACTGTTGACTGCTGGACATGCTGCTCCCATGCAGCATACATTCTCTTATTATATTCTTATATTTTTTTATTATATTGCTGCTTAAAGTGCCTTAGATTTTGTGTTACTTATTTATCTACTTTATATTTCATTTGTACTTTGTGGCATTCATGTGGACAGCAAAGTAAGAATTTCATTGTACAGGGAAACACGTTTCCTAACTGTGCATATGACAAATAAACACGTTGACCTTGACCTTTACCAACCTTGGAGCTGCTTGAAAGGGAGTGATATTTCCACTACTCTGTGGGACTTAAAGGTAAGAAAAAAAACCCCATGTTGCATGTCTGTTCATGCCCTGTTTCTGTAACATTAGAGAAAATTATTGTAAGGCTGGAGACGTCTCTATGTCTGCATTATGCCAGTTAAAATATGGGGTTTCTCAATTACCCACATTGTTTAGAGCACATGTGTCAAACTCGAGGCTCGCAGGCCACATCCAGCCCGGTGTACAATTATATCCGACCCTCGAGATCATTATCTTTTTCATATCATATATTTTTTTAATGGCCCGGTGATATGAAGCGCCGATAACTCACAAACTACAAATCCCATAATGCGGTGGCCTGGCGTCAGTTTTTAAAAACAGTTTTAAATGTCGGCAGCTCACAGTGGACTCCTGCTCCACTTTTGATTTACAGCTGTTTGTGGTAGAGTTCTCTTATCCACTGCTGTGTGCAGTGTTTTATCGTCCTCCTAAGTTCAATCAAGGGTTTTATTCAGGAGTTTTCTGACTTCTTGGGTTTTATCTTGACAAAGTTTGATAAGCTTTTAATACTCGGTGACTTTAACATTCATATCTGTTGGCCAATGACTTTTTAAATATTACTGACTCTTTTAATCTGGTTAAGGCGCAACGCTCTCACCGCTGCAGCCCGAAGTTTCCTTTGGTGTTCGGCTCCCACTGGCTTCACTTACGCTTACCTTCGGCCCATTGGTACGGACTCCTCAGCACCAATCCCATGTTGCCAGTTTCTGCGACGCCCAAGAAGATGTGTGGACTGGTCCAACCTCCCCTCACTGAGACGGTCTTCCCAGCCGCCGAACTCCGCTTCATGGATCCAGATGGGTTTAACACCAGGTCTCTGGCTAACAAGAATTTTTTTTCTAAATGACTTTTTCATATCGCGGGAACTGGATTTTATGTTGCTGACTGAGACCTGGCTAAAGGAAGGTGAGCATTATGCATTTTCTGAACTTCTCCCACCGGATTGCTCCTTCCTTAGCTCCCCGCGCTCATCAGGCAGGGGTGACAGTCTGGTGTTTGTTTTTAAAAACAGTTTTAAATGTCGGCAGCTCACAGTGGACTCCTATTCCACCTTAGAGCTACAGCTGTTTGTGGTAGAGCTCTCTTATCCACTGCTGTGTGCAATGGTTTATTGCCCTCCTAAATTCAACAAGGGTTTTATTCAGGAGTTTTCTGACTTCTTGGGTTTTATCCTGCCAGACCTTGATAAACTTTTAATACTTGGTGATTTTAACATTCACATCTGCTGTCCTGATGACCCATTGGCCAAAGACATTGTAAATATTATTGACTCTTTTAACCTCACTCAGTCGGTGCATGGCACTACA